AAATATAGGCATATCCAACACCTGAAATTGGGAAATCAGAGAGTTACCTGTACTTCGTGTTTCTTTGCAGCACTAATCACAATACCCAAGAACTCCTATTAACCTAAATGCCCCAAAACAGATGAACAGATAAAGAAAATACAGTTCATATATACGATGGAAGACCATTCAGCCATAAAAATGAAGAAAATCCTGTCATTTAAGACAACATGGATGAAGCTAGAGAACATTACATTCAGTGAAATAATTTGAGCAGGGAAAGACAAACACTGCATAATCTCACTCATAGTTGGAATACAAAACGAAAACTGATCTCATAGAAGTAGAGAGCAGTGTTTACCAGAGACTGTGGGGAAGAGGGAGGAGGGGAGAATTGGGAGGACCATTGGGTATTGGGTATTGTGATTAGTGCTGCAAAGAAACACGAAGTACAGGTAACTCTCTGATTTCCCAGTAAGGTACAAAATTACAGCCAGATGGTAGAAATAAGCTCTGCTGTTTTACTGTATAGTATGGTGACTAGAGTTAGCAATGAAGTTTTGTACTTTTCAAAATGCCTAGAAGAGAGATTTTAAATATTCTCAATAAAAAGAAATGATAAATTCATGAGATGATAAATATGCTAACTACCCTGATTTGATCATTATGCAATGAATACTTGTTTCAAATATAATTTTGTGTCCCATAAGTTAAAAAAATACCTTTCTTAAAGTGTTCTTAAATATACCACCTAACCTCTGCAGTTGTCATCAGAAGATTCCTTCATTATAAGTGAACTCATTGTGGGATATTCCTAGTTATCCCTTAATTTTCTGCATTTAATTTTTCTTTTAATCTACTGGACTGGCATGGTTACTTTCTTTTTCCCTTATCCAATGAAATATGGGATAAAATTTCCATGTTACACATAAGTTTCCTCTTTACGTGGCTAGATGTCACCAAGGCCTTATCTTGTAATCAGAAGAGAAGGTGGCCAGCATTCTTCTCATGTTGCTTACCTTGATCTAAAAGCTGTAGGGTGTGTCAACATATTTCTTAAAATGAGGAACCTTTTCTAATAATTCTGTAATTTTTAGTGATTAAATACTACAGAATTATTTTTCATCTTCTTAATTAATATTTCTATTAGAAATATTAAAATTCTAAACTGTCTCTCAAACCACCAAGGTTTTGACCACAATGTTTTAATTCCACATAGCATTAGTCAAAGTATTGAATATTATATCTCATTGAATTTAATCTTCCTATGAAGCTACTGTTGTCTTATTTTATTTTAAAAAAGAAGATAAATCAAAAACATAGAAGTGATTTTCAAAGGATTACATAATTAAATGGACAAGTAAGCAAGTGGATACAGGTTTGCCTGAATTAATTGCCAATATTGTTTCTGCACTTTTCCATTACACTACGCTAAGCATGTTTCGGCATCAGCAGCCCGCTGCCTATCTGGCTTCCTCCCTAGCTTCTTCATTCCATCTCCTTTTTCTTTCCTTCTTTCCTTCTCCCCTCCTTCCCTTTCTCTGCTCTTTCCTTTTCCCCTCCGTCTCTCTCTTCCCTATTCCTTCCTACTCTTCCTTCCTCCAATTCCTCTTTCTCTTTCATTACCCTTGTTTCATCCACTCTTTTTACTATTGATCCAAGTACATTATTTTTTTTCTGGTTAATTCTGAACCTATGCTCTTTCATATAACTCATCATTAGCTCTTTCATAAAGCAGATTGGTCTGCCTGCCACTTTCTAATTCACACAGTACATTAAGATGTTTTATAGAACACTACCAAGAGCTGAGCGTATGGCACATACCTGTAATCCCAGCTATTAGGAGGCTCCTTGTGGAGTTGGCTTCTTTTCTTACTCTATTGTTATACTACATTAACAGGAGGATCAAACATTTCAGACCAAACTGGGGAACTTAGTGAGACTATCTTAAAATAAAAAGGGCTAGTCAGAGCACTTGTCTAGAATACACAATAATCTGGGTTAGATACCCAGTACCGCGCGCACACACACACACACACACACACACACACACACAGAAGCATGAAGAACAAAACTTTATGTCATAATTGTACTTATCATATAAATTGAGTGTAATGACTCAATTTATTTTGATAATTAATAATTGAAGGCAGGATCATAAATATTTTAATCTTCTAAATTTTGAACATTTAGGTCACTTACTGTAATCATTACAGTGCAAAGCTAAAAACTGCTTAAAATCATAAAAGTGATCTTTACTGGGTATATCAGTATGATAAAATTTTTATTTCATTTCTCATTCAATATCTTATATGAACATACATTTATCAACCAGCATATCTCATTGTAAAAACGTACTGTCAATGTCAGCCCATTTCTCTGTCACGTGATCTTATATTACTTTCATAGAATAAGTTAATTTAATTATTGGTCAGGGTTCTTTTGAGATCCTTCAGCAATAAAATGCAATCAAGGACATTTCCGACCACTACATGTGTGTTGTAAATAAAGCTGTGTATTGGCATTCAAGTGTGACTTATTTATCAATAAAGCAATGCTTTTCTTCCTGTACATACATACCCTTTTCTGAGTACTGATCTAACCAGTTTTGTCTTTATTACAGATTACAGAAAAAGATAAGTAAATTTCTATCTCTTTTATGCATCCATTTTAGTTAAAGAGCAAAATTTCATCATACTATTCTCTTCCTGTATATATGCCAAGAGCTGATTCAGTGGTTTCACTCAAGGATAAACCAAATATGAGATTACTTCAACATGTAATAATCACTACTGTTGTGTTTATAAAAGGCAATAAAAATATTTGGCAAAAGTGTTCCCTGCCTTCTCTTTGAGCACAATTTTTGTTGTACAGTCTTCCTGGTAATGTTGTGACCTGTATCTCTTTTTGCTCCAATAAGTGCAATCAAGAACACAGTTTAAAATATTAGCTAACAAATATTTCGGAGAAATTTTGAACCACAAAATTCTTTCCAAGCAGCCATCATTTCATTTCTGAGTTGACCTCATTACTTTATTCCTGGTCTCACTTGCTTCTACTCTTATGCTTACTCTTGTATTCTCACAGTAGCCAGAGAAACACAAAACTCAAAACACAAAACTCTCCAAGGGCCTCTGATCACACTTACAATGAAGGTCAATGTTCTGACTGTGCCTTGTGAGTCCTTAGATGATCAGTGTTCTACTAGCTTATCTAGGGACCCTACCTTGCTTATTCCACTGCACACATACTGATTTTGGGGCTATTATTCTCATGTATTATGATCATTACTGCCCCTGGGTATTTTTACTTGTTTCCTCTGCCTAGAATACTTTCCTCCTGATATATGAGTGAATTCTTCCATTATTTTAATTAGGTTTTAAAATCTGACCATCCTGACTTACCCTGACACCTCTAATCCCTCTTTATTTCTCTCCATAGTCTTGTCACTTTTTGATACTGGATTGTGTACTTATCTTAATGGAATATAACTTCCATGAACTTAGACTGAATTGGTCAGGAGCTACTGTTTATACTCAGTGAGCAGAGACAAATATTTGATGCATCCTATACTTAGTTTTGTGGAAAGCAGAATGTGATGACACGGAAGAGATGGTAAAACTCTAAAAAAAGGAAAACTGGCCACACAATCTCAGGTGAATGGTACTGTATGAAGAATGAAAAAGTGCAGAGAATTTAGACTGTCTACACAGTAGTCATAGATAGGAGTATAACCAAAAGCAAGCCTGTGCAGTTTCTTGATAGATTATGTATTTTCCACTGAGGGGAAGTCAGTCGCAGAGAACTCAGACACTTGGGAGATTTCTTTTAAGCCTTTGATCAATACTTAGGTTAAAACTTGGAGATACAATTATATCTTATTCAAACTATAGTTTCTTATTCAAACTATACTCATTCAAATTATATTCATTATTAACAAAAATTAAATAGTGAAAAACTTCATCTGACAAAGATTTTCCAAAATCACAGCATAGGCTGAATCCCAGCAAAGTCCAAATTACTCACTGCATTTCACAGCCTACAGTTTAAATCTGTAGTTTTTTACATCTCAACCTTAGTCAACTGGGTCTTTTGCACCCCTAGCTACATATACAAGTATTATTGGGAATGTGCATTGGCCACAAGTCAAGAGTAAGGGTAATTAAAATATGGATTCCTTGAGAGGTATAATGCTCTATGTTACAATAAACTGTCCAGGCAATCTCTGGGTTCATCTGGCTTTGGACAGGATGCCAGTCGGTAATTCATCACTGGAAACTTGAGAAGGGCAAATATACTAGATTTATGGGCTGTGTGCTAGATTAATGAATTATCTATCATCTAGTACCTGATAGGCTAGGGGTAATGAATTATTGAATAAGATTATATAGCTTATATAGCTCAAGGGACTTTTCTTATAACCAATTTAATTAACTAGTGGAATGGTCAATTTCATCACAAGTCAACACAAAATTCAAATGGTCATTTCAACACATTTATTTCACCTTACACCTCTTGAGAACATTAGCCAGGAAAGCATTACAAGTATTGACTATAAAGGCACACCAGCTTTTCCATTAGTATGCTAGATTGTAGTATTTGGATAACTATAACTTCAGACAACAGGAGGTTAGTTTTTCAGATTTTCCTGTGAAATAAATACTTGACTGCTCTTTAAGAAAAACTCAGCTCTTATTAATTTTCAGTATTCTTACCTGAATTTCCAGGTGGCTTCATGTGATTAATAAATAGTTTAGAGTTCAGGCAACAGTCACCTAATGAGGCAATCTATTCCTTGGTTCCATAAGATTAACATTTGGTTTTATATAAATATATAAATGCTGGCTGGATCTAATTTAAGGATTTAGCAGACTAAATTATATTTTATCATCTGTCTAAGCAGCTAAAAACAGAAAGTTAAGATGTAGTTCCAATCTTGACAATTTCAACTGTTTGTGTGGAAAAGACTTGTTTTATATTCAGAGGACATATGGCTGAATATTAAAATCTTAGTGTCCTACCTCTCGAATTGCTGTACAAAACTCACTCTGAAGCACATTTTTGAGGGACTGTAGCTTGTGCACTGGTACTTCTCCAGATTCCTGTAGTTTTTCCAGTAATTCAATTGCTCTTGCAACATCTGAATGAAAAAAAATCAAAATGGACAGATGTACAATAAACTATCTCATCAACATATTCACATTATTCCAATTGAATGAAAATATTATTCCAATTGAAAATCGAGCAGAATTAACTGAAAAATAAGAATTTATAAGTCAGAGCTTATTGATTTCACCTTTTAGTAATAGTCACTTTAACCTGTTTCACATAATTTGTTACTTAATACATCTTTTTGACGGCAGTTCACATCTTATTTTTGTCTTACAAATCAGTTTGAGTAAGGAAAAAAGAGAAAAACACGTCTGTTACTTATTCTGATAACCCTGTAAACAAAATAGTTCTATCAGTTTTACCTCTGAGATGCTTTTGTTTGATTTTTCATGTATGACATTTACCACACCAAAATCTCATGTTTATTAGTGTGATGATTTGATTGGTACACATCTCCTTCACCTGTATAGAAATTCCTTGAACATGGGAACTTGTCTGGTTTGTTTGCCATTGCATCCCACAGTCTGGTATAATACAATGAATTAATATTTGATGAAGAAATGAGCTAATGGACTCTCCATTTCACCACCACTGCATTACTTCAGGTCCTCATAATCTCTCCTCTGTCCAACTGGAATAATTTCTTCTTCCCCAAGCCTCTACATATGGTCCACAGAGTGATCTCCCTAAAACAAAAATCTGATCATTATCCACCTATTGGCTTCTAGAGTACTACTAATTGAGAGTTTTCAACATCAGCATCAGCATCAGAGGTTAATACATCAAAGAACAGTCAGTCTTTTGTGGAAATTTTTACATCCCTGGATTATTTCACATTGCCCAGGGAAAATGTCACAAAAAAGCCATTTTAAAGTACTTATAAATATCTCCTCTACTCTATTGCTGCAGTTAACAGTTCACTGAAAATTCACTTAGGCATTTATTTTTTTTTAATTTTATTTTATTGGTACATTTTAGGTATACAATATAATGACATTCATCATTGGAAATTTGCACCTTTACATAATCTCTCTCATTTCTTATTTTTCCCTGTTCCCCTGCCCTCCCTACAACACCTCCATCCCTCCCTATTTACAAAGACTTTATTTCCATTTTTTCATTTTCTCATATTAATTCCATTCCCTTCTTTCCTTTCCCCTACCCCTCCCACTTCCCCTTCCCCTTTGCCCCTTTTCTTACTATTTCACATTATCTATTATACTTTTTACTCCTAATTTACACTTTCAGTTTCTCACACTAGAGTAATGATTTGGTATTTACACGTGTGTCCTGTTTATTTCACTTAAGAGTATCGCCTCAATGAGCATCCATTTAGCTATAAGTGTCTCTAATTTCTCATTTTTTATGGCTGAGTAGTACTCCATTTTATTAAAAAAACCCACATTTTCTTTATCCAGTCTCCAGTTGATGGGCTTTTGGGCTGTTTCCAAGTTATAGCTATTACAAATTGTGCTGCTATGAACATGGGAACACATTTATCACTGTGGTATGATTCTTTTAATTCTTTGAGGACGATCCCCAGCAGAGGAATAGCAGGGTCAAATGGGACTTCTAGTCCTAGTTCTTTGAGGTATCTTCATATTGGTTTCCACAGTGGTTGCACCACTCCACACTCCCATCATCGGTGGAGCAGGGTTCCTCTTTCCCTACAGCCCCACCAGCATTTGTTATTGGTTCATTTCATGATAGCAGCCATTCTTTCTGGAGTGAGGTGGAATCTCAGCTTTCTTTTCATTTGCATCTCTCAAATGACCACTGATGTTGAACACGTTGCATAAGTTTATTTGCTATTTCTACTTCTTTGTGTGAGAAATGTCTGTTCATTTCAGATGCCCATTTTCAGATTGGGTCTTTCAAATCGGGAGGTCTGATTTTTTTAAGTTCTTTACATATTCCAGATAGTAGACCTTTGTTTGAAGTACAGTAGTTGAAGACTTTTTCCCACCTTATGGGTTGACTCTTTACACTGTTAGTGGTTTCTCTTGCTGTGCAGAAGTTTTTTAATAAGAAGAGATGCCACTTGTTGATAGTTTGTGCTAGTTCATGGGCAACTGAGGTTTTGTTCATAAAATCTTTTCCTACACCAGTGTCTTCAAGAGTTCTACCTAATCTCTGTTCCAGCCAGTTCAGCATTTCTGTTTTAATATTTAGATCTTTAATCCATTTCAATTTTAGTTTAGTGCACAGTGAGAGATACAGTTCTATTTTTAATCTTTGGCAAGTTGAAACCCAATTTTTCCACCACCATTCATTTATTAAAGAGGCTATCTTTCCTCCAGTGAGGGTGTTTGGCTCCTTTGTTGAAGATGAGGTGGCTGAGTGTGTCTGGAGTTATTTCTGCATCTTCTAATCTGTTCCACGGGTCCTCTGGTCTGTTTCTTTGCCAGTACCATGCTGTTTTTAACACACTAACTTTGTAGTATAGTTTCAAGTTGGGGATTGTGATACCCCCTGCCATGCCTCTCTTAGCTAGAATTACTTTTGCTATTCTGGGTCTCTTCTTGTTCCAAATGAAGTTTTGGATTGTTTTCCCTAGTTCTGTGAAGTATACTGTTGGGATTTCAGTCAGGATTGCATTGAATCTATAGAGCAGTTTTGGAAGTATGGCCATTTTCACTATATT